AGCTGCTGCATAAGTCAGGTCAAGTTCACTTCGGAAATTTTCCTAATTCTATAATGATTACTTCTCTACAGGTTTGATTTCAGTGACTGCGAAGTTGTTAATTGCCCACCAGGGACACATGTGAACACAAATCGATCCGATCCGATCGATGCTACTCGTGCAGTATTCTATGAACTTTGTAATAAATGCAAAATGGGGACATATCAGGTAACGTGGTCGTATTTTTATCTATAGTGATTATGTAGTGCTGTAGGAGGGAGCACAGTTGCTTGACTAGCTGACCTTTTCGATGTAGAGCCACTAATTCAATGATGATTGGGATGCTGTCCGGTTTGGGAGGGGCATTTTGCACTCTTGCTAGTGTCTTTTGCTAGTTTCTGCTGTATTACGCGTCTTACCTTGGCGAGACCTGTTCGCTCTTGTCAACGTAGGCTAAGCTCCTGTTATTGCATAGCATTACAGGAGTTAACAGGACTCTACAGGAGGCATCAGCTGTGATCGAAGGGAACTAGCGAAATACTACGCCAACCCGAACTGCGCCTGACTGCTCAATAAAGAGGCATTATGCGATAACTCAGTGGGCGGAGATTCACTTGCGCCTTCCCAGCCCCTCGGTTAACTTCTCCTTTGTTGGTAATTTGTTGAGGAGGAAGGATGTAAGTTTCCGCCCATCCAATTATCGTGAAATCTGCCTTTATGGGTGCACCCAGGGTAAGGGAATCTTTTACTACGATACTGAATAGGTAATTAGTCCGAATCCAATCCGCCCAAAGATAGCCGTATTGGTTGAAACTCGTTGAGCGTGAATTCTATAGCAGAGCAGAAACACGACTCACAACGCAGTGTAAGCGAACGAGTTGGGGGGGGGTCGTATATATCCTTGAGAGAATTTTTTCCAATCGATCATTCTTGCTGTCTCACGTGCACTATATTCCCACGTGGTCGGCGGAACGGAGCTACTGTTTCCAACAATTTCATCGAAATTTCCTGGTTCCTCTCTCTTTCCTGCCGCTCGACGGCTAAATTTGGAAAATCTGACAAAATGCTAGTAGAGTGGGGTTGAGGCTTCACCGAAAGAAGATGTTCGAGGGGAGGGGGGTCGTAACTTGGAACGTTTCATACCATGCGATGATATGCTCTGCTCCAAAACGTAATCCCCTTTGCTAGAGAGGCACTGAACTGTGCACGTTAAATTGAGCTCAAGGCGAAAGCACAGCGTATCATCCATTCTTCCAGGACGAGCGCAATCAAACCTCTTGTAAACCCTGCACACCAACCTCAGACTGTCCCCTCGTCAACGAATGCAGTCCAATTCTACCAGATACCTGTCTTGAAGGCTGTAATTGTGAACGACAAGATACCGGAGTTTATTCTTGTGTGTGTCCAGTTGTGGTAGGTTTTGGTAAGCTCCACCCCCTCAGCATGCTCCGCCCACCAATTTCAACAACAATTCGTTTAGGTGATACCGACTCCAAACTTCAACAGTTGGGTTTTGTGGATAGTCGTACCACTGGTTGGGGTGCTGATTCTTGTGACTCTGGGGATAACTGCATATATCTGTCGGCAATCGTAAGGCTCTATTGATTTTATCGATCGCCGACCAGGTTATAGAATCCGAAAAAAGACCCATTTCAGAATATACATGATGATGTGCTGTAAAAAACCAGATTTCAAGCAGTTTGAATCGACTGACTATTATCGAAGCCCAATGGGACCTCCTCGCGTGTCGCGTGGAAGTATAGACAATGGTGACTACCGGAACTATCCGCCTCGCCGACTCGTCAGTTTTGTTCTCGAACTTTCCCTCACATTATTCACAAAAAAAACGTTGAATCTATTTAAGGGTTCAGTCCGTCCATCTCAAGCACTCAGCACCATTGCTGTAGCGCCGAGAAGAATCTCCACTGAGGAGCTGGACGGGTGAGTTTCAGCGATCATGTGGGAGTGGCAAGTCCTGCAGAATCAATACGTATCTTTTGAACGCTGGAAGAGTGAGACTTACGGGGCAAGTCGCTAACTTCGATAGTTCAGATCGAGATTCCGCGATCGCCACCTTCCACCACCAATTATCACCTCTAAAGCTGAACTGGACTTGTTAGAAGAGCAAGCCAGAAGGAGAGCGATGGCTACGGTAGTTAATGAATTGTGCAGGTGAAATGCATACGCAAAAAGAGCAATAATTCATTTCCAGAATGCGATTCCGCTGTCGAGTCGAAGTCTTGGTAGCCAAGTAGGCCATCACAGGGTACTCGTCCGAATCCCCAGGGCCATCCATTTCGGCTCAGCTGGTACGTCCAAGGGTCCCCACGCTGCTTGGTCCTTCGCCGCTTGCAGACTTGCCAGAAGATCCGTCGAGTAGCTATTCGTTGCATTGGAGCGAATCAACACCAAATGAATCCAATGACGTCTACGGAGACGACGATGACGTGAGTCTTTCAAATAGTGCCCCAAATAGAGCCCCCATTCGTATCGCCCAACAATCGGCTGAGTTGTTTTGACCCAGATCGACATTTTCCTTAAATATCCTGGTAAAGTCTTCTCTGCTCGCTGGATGGCGGATACAAGTAATTCTACAGTCTAGAATAAAGAAGCGCGTTTGGCTTGATGGGGGCAACAAATGGAACTCAGCGAAACTCGTACAGACCATCTTGTGCATACGTGTGAATTCTTGTAACCAACGTGGATCACTTTGACCGTGTCGCAGCTTCACAAGAGTTTACAGGTTTCATCGAAGTGAACCTATTCATTAATATGTACTACCAAAACGAACTAGTGAAAGAGCAAAATGCCCCTCCCAAGCCGAAAAGCGCCGAAGAATCAGTTTAAAATGCTTCTCAATGAAGCCTTTCGTTTGCAATAAGTTCTAGGCCTTGTATGAGGGTAGGGTGAAAAGCCTTGAGCAAATCAGGGTCAAGCGAAGAAGAAGAGAGGGTACAAAAACGATCAATACCGCCTCCTTTGTGCGAGTATGGGGTACAGTCCACTTTCTGTTCGTCTGCGACCTCTTCACGAGAGAGAGTTTGGTGGTTAACATTGGTGAGGGAGCAGACAAACAGAGAGTGGACGTGGTCCAGTCCCCGCACCCTCACTGGCATCCTGCACCCTTAGCTTTCCTTGGCACGCAGTGCTAGTGAACAGCCGCGACTGCAACTAGAACAATATGGAATGCTTGTGCCTCTTTAAGACCTATAGACAGTGAAGAAAGGGCTTGAATATTTAATTTCAGGAGGACTATTTCGGCTAGTTGAAGACCACCTTGACAACGCTTTGCTCAAAAAATGACCGCTGGCTTTCGGAATACGTGTATTTCTTTAATTAATTTTGCGTTTCGTTGTTTGTGATTTTTTACTAATAAAGTAAGTAGTCTTTGCTGTCTCTTTTTACGACTGTGTTAAATTACACCAAGTAGACTCCATATCCCGGGGTTAGGGTGGGTGTGGCTGCGTACTTCATTCGAACGTGGTGGCGGTCCCTTTGTTTTGGTGGGATTTTTTTCTGTATGACAATTGCAATAACTCCTTAGTCCTGCACAGGACATGATAAAAGTTATCTCAAATGGAAGATGAACGCATTCCATTCTATGCGCATGAAGTACGCAGCCACGCCCACCCTATCTCCGGGATATGAGATGTACCGGGCGAGTTGAAGTGAAGGTAAAAGTTTGAAGGGCACTACAGAAAACACTACAGGAAATCGGAAAAGGTGAGCATGGCCCAGCTGACCAAGCCAAGCTAAGAATAACAATGCAAATTACCGTAACCACAGGTTTGCTGTGGACCGGGCACGGGGCAGAAATTGAAAAATTTTGAAAATTGCATCATTCTGAACAGAGTTCTTGTGCAAATGGCCCACCAATGTGGTCCAGGAACTTTAAGAACTGTAAGAAGTAAAAGACGATGGAACGGTCATGCTGCGTGATTGAAGCGCAATAAGTGGACCTTACGGCTCACGAAATGAATCCCGTTGGATTCAGCCAGGCCAGAACGTCGTAGCCCGAACTCAGAATACAGAAGTCCTGTTCGTTTCATGGTTTGGCGCTGTTCGGCTTGAGAGGGGCATTTGGCACTTTGGCTAGTTCCCTTGGCAAGTCAGGTTTCCACAGGATGTATCAGCAGTGAATGATGCGAATTAGCGAAATGCCCCCACCAGGCCAAACCGCGTCCACTGTTCTTTTTATGCATGACTCATACTATCAACAGACATAGTAGAGAGCCTACCTCAATATTTTTCGAACGCACCTGTTTTACGGGCCTTTTTGCAACGTTTGCAACGGTGTGCGTCGTGAGCGAACGCGGACGAGTTCCTTCGAGAGTAGTCGATCAAATTCACCTCTAATCTGCTAGAATTTTTGAATTTGATTCGCAACTGTGGAACTGCATGCCAGAGCAATGAAACTCGTACGTTTAGCTGCGCCATGGCTACATAGCCAAACGCACACATTCACGGGTATGTGACAAGACAATCGTAATATGCCACACGGGAGGCGTCGCGATTGATGCCGTGTTGATGGACGATCATGTTTGTTGCCCCGCCATTTTTGATTTGCGTGGAAAAGAGTAGGGGAAATTCTGATGATGGTCCGCGACGGGAAGTTGAATTCATATAGGTTCGCCTGTTTTCGATCGCATAAATATTAATGCGCCCACGAAAACTTGCTTCGCGTCGCCGCGCGACAACCCGCGCGCGACGAGCGCGACAAACACGATTGTCTTGTCCGTCTGCCCGCGATCATTATCATTCTCTTTGACAGCTTTAAAGCCAATGATTTACATAACAGGAATCAACGAAAGGAACACATCCTTCAGTCATACCGTGATGACTCGAAGAAACAATTTATTCTTTCCAAAAAAAACAATCGATCATATTCACCACAATAAAATCGATATAAGCTGTTATTGATGTGACGTCAGTAGACCATCCGAATGTGAGTTTTCGGCGACTGTGTCGTCAATGCTGGAAACAGAGTAGACAAGGACATCTAGCAAACGACATCATAAATCTTAATACCGTACCCTACTGCGGGGTTGTAATTGTATCGTTAGGGTCATGTCTGGGAATTAGCGGACTTTGCAGGCAAAAACATCGTTAATTTTGAGAAGCGAACGGTCGCGATGCGGCTGAGACGGCGCTGCCGCGCCACGACCGCGCGCGTCCAAGGGCCACAAATCCAACCGTGGCAATCAGTTTCAAACATCACTTTCATCGATCAGCGAATACATGCTAATCACCTGTGGTTCTTCAATTAGTGTGCTTTTAGACAGGGTCTTATTTCCTGATTGACGATACGCCTCTTGACCGAATTGTCGAACCATTTCGCAGGCAAGTGGACTGACATCTTGATGGCATGTCTCCGACCCTCTAGTGACAACCTGCAATTCACAGCAATTTTTGGGGAAAAAAGGTCTTTTTCTTGCCATTATGCTGGAGGGAAGCAAACGTCGAGTAATGAAGGATAATATTTATATTAACTTGGTCTGTGTCCAGGGCTTTTTCTGTTGAGGAATTTTGTGCAAAATACGTCCTCCCTCACTTCACTCCTTCCCTCCGTCCGAATTTTTCCCCTGATGTGAACCCATTCATCTATGCTACTTATCATCATCATCATCATCATAAGTTTGCCCAACTTCCTACAATCCCTGAATTTTCCCTTTTTTTCGTAGAAAAAGTGGAAAACATGGCATGAGTAGGGGAGGGAAGGGGAAGGGTCTAGAGTAGTAACTGTGTGGAATTTTCGTAGCTCTGCTGACTATGAAGTGGGGGGGGAGGGTTACAGTTATTTCGTGCACGGAGAAAAAGTTTCATTGATACATAATTTGCTTAGTCTGTTTGTTTGTTCGTTTGTTTGTTTGTTTGTCTGTCCGGAAATTCGGTTCGACCTGAAGAACGACTTGGAGAGGTCGGGTCAAGGTGGGGATGGGTAGGGCATGGGACAAGATGCAAAGAGCACACATGACCTATGCGAAGCCTCGCCCCTGATGGGCGGGAACAGCCGAAAGATGGCGGTGCCGCAGACAAGAATTCATAATTCGCTTTGAAGCAGCACAGAGATGCGGAAAAATTGGAATAAGGTTAGCGAGAGATTGTCAGACTAACTAAGGGAGACATACGCAAAGTGGGCGGGGCTTACTCAAGATGGGCGGCGCTTCCCACGAAATTTAGCAAGTTCCGTCAGAGTTAAGAAGTCGCAAAGAAGTTCTTGCAGAAGAGCAACACCCGAGGACAGTTGGACATGCCTGAAACGTGTTCAAACCCACACAGAAAGGGCGAGGCTTGCCTCTCCCCCAAACATAGGATGGTCATTTCAGAAATTTATAGTTCTGTTCCAGGGCACTCAAGACACCGGAGAAAAGTGGACTCAGGTTGGACGTTATAGAAGGGTTGCGGTTGGGAAGCGTGGGGCAAACATTTTGTGGGTGGGATCTGGTGAGGTGGAAGGACCCAACAAAAAGTCGCTAGCTCAGTTCCAGAGCACTCCAGACTGTGGGGAAAGCGAACCCAGGTCAGCGAATGGCTGCTCCGAAGTGGGGCGGGCCTCAGAAAAAAGTCTGTAGAACGGTTCAGAGCCCTTCGGACACTGCAAAAAAAGCGGGATGAAAGCTAGCGAAGGGTCGTAGGTTGTGGATGGGCCTGCTCCGAAGGGGGATTCCAGACAATAAAGTCTGTAAAATGTTTCCAGAGCAGTGAGACTAGGAAAAAGTAGACTGGGTGAGCGAGGGGTCATCGGTTTGTAAGTGAGAGTTTTAGGCGAGCGTGCAGCGAGGTAGGCGGGGCCGGAAGCAAAAATCTGTGAAATGATTGTAGGGCACTCGAGACACCGGCGAAGGGTGAGCAAAGATGCGCACGAGCTCGGCTGCTGAAGCGAGACAGACGCGCCTTTATGGGTGGAACTGTGGCAAGGTGAGTGGGCGAAACTCAAGAATTCACGAATTGGTAGCAGGGCAGCATAGGCATTGGGCACAGGTGGATTGAGGTTCACAAGGGGTTAGCGGACGAAATGGGAGAGACATCCCGGTCTGGGCGAGCCGCACTCAAGACGGGCGGCAATTGCTGCGAAATCTCATGGTTCGTATATGAATGAGTTTGGGGACCAGGAAAAACCGCTGGAGAAGAGAACATATAGCGAGAGTTGAGTATGTCTGTGGTGTGTTGAGACCCGCCCACAGTGGGTGGAGCATGCCCCAAAGCACGAGGTACAGATTTTTATTGCGTTTTAGTGCATAAGCCGCCAAACCCTCGAACACCTGTCGTCAGAGGTACATTTGATACTCGCTGGCTGACGCCAGCGAGCCGACTGGTGCTGATACAACCACCAAATCCACCCCCCCCCTCTCAAAGAGGCGAGCAAGTCCCTAGTGCGAGTTTCCCAACGTGTGTACATGTGAAACAGAAAAATCAGCTGTTCCCTCAGGTCCAATGCGACCCCTTCCCCAGCAACCAAATACGACCCCCCCCCGCTTGCATAGTGCCCTGATCGGCATAGAACGCTGAGCAGTTCAGTCCTAAGGCGAACAGTATGAAGCACCTCAAAACTCACATCAAGGCAGCTGCAGAATGTCTTATCACACAGTTCCTGTCCCCTTTGAGCATCGTAGCATTTGTCATGTATTATGCAGCATTTGTTGATAATTCCTGAAATTTTCCTGTGTGCAGTACAATGAAAAAAGCCTACCGTATACAGAATGCTACACTCTATACCCCGGAGATGGGAGAAGGCGTGGCCGCATGCTTGATTTGAACACAGGGCAGGATACGTCTTCCGTAGGATATCTCCTTTTTAAACATTCTTTCTTTCTCGGGCTCGACAAGGATACTATTACATTCTTCGAAACGCCGATATCCCACCAAAAACCAAGCCATTGAAAAGCGTAGCCACGCCCCCTCCATCTTCGGGATACAGGGTACAGGTCAGGCGCAGCTTGGCTTGGTGGGAGCATTGATGGTTCTCAACAATAAGCACCAACGCCTATTGCGGAGACCTGTTAACTCGTAGTAGAATGAGCTCCGTTCGGGCTTGACAGAGTCTTACCCATGGTTAGAACGTGTAATTTAAAGCGAAGGCTCACCCCCTTCCAAGCTAAATAGCGCCGTTGTGCCACCATGAACCTAAAGCAAAAACCCACTCTTCAAATGTGGACACAAGCCCTCGACTACATTTTCGCTGAATGTCTTGCTAGGGGGGAAGAGATCCGTTCCACATTCCCACTTTTCACCCTTATGGTGGTGCATCGACTTCGATGAAAACTCATTCCGCTGCGACGGTAGCATCGCTGTCGTCGCGTAGATGGTGGCTATTATGACCGCTAAACGCATCCTGAAACATGGATGAAGAGTCCTATGTTGGATACTGCTGCTCAGCGCAATTCGCGGACGGAGGGGGGGGGGGAAGTGGTTTGCACTTTCATTGGTTTGCATTAATTTACCTGACAAAACCTGTGAACTCCTGTGAAGCTAAAGCAAACTCATTGAGCCGCAATGGTGGAACCTCTCAACTCACGAGAAGGCTGTCTAAATGGGTCGACCCGTCGATGGCAAGTAAATAGAAGCGCAAAATGCCCCCCCCACCCTGCGTAGCCTATGCAGTGTCGTGTTCGCTCGCGCTGGTACTATTCACGGGATACTTATATGCAGTAACCTAGAAGACTCAATCAGACATATAAAGGGATTAAAGACCTTTGAAAAACCCAAAAGGGCTTGTTGAAAGGAGAGTCGGTTGAGTGACTACCGCTTTTTTTTTTTTTTTTTTTTTTTCTGGACAAAAACATCATGAACTCCGGACGGCGTTTTTGGCAACGTGCCTCAAAAAAGATCTACAGTATTCTTCGTTGAGGACGCTGATATCCCGAACGACATCGGGTGAGAGCCGACAACGTTATTTCATACAAGCGGCGCAGTGGGGGGGGGGGGCATTTTGCTTTTTTGCCACTTCCCATCGATGTGTCGAGCCATCGAGAGAGCCACACGAGCGTTGACAGGGTTTATCATGATGGCTGGACAAGCTTGCTCCAGCTCCACAAGAGTTCACAGGTTTCACTAGAGTGAGAACTAGTGAGCCCCCGAAACTATTGAAGCCTGCGGAAAGGCAAACCCCCCTACCTCGGCCCCCCCCCCCCGTCGCCGAAGAGCGCCCATACAAGCTTTTATAGGGGCAGAAAATGATACGTACTGAAGTCATGACCGTAACATTTTCCCAATATCCAAGGCAATTAAACAGCTAGATGACAAAATATAGCTTGAATCATCTGGCTATTAGACGCTCAAGTCATTTCAAGATTGAAAGTGATTCATGGCGCTTCGGCCATGGGAGGGCATTTTGCGCTTTTGCTGCTCTACTGTCCTGATTTACAAGTCACACTCTGAAGAAACTGTGAACTCTTGTGAAGCTGGAGCAAGCTCGTCAAGCCATCATGGTAAAACCTGTCAACTCGAGAAGAGGCTGTCTAGATGGGTCGACACGTCGATGGGAACAAGCAAACGTGCAAAATGCTAGCCCACCCCTTCGCCGAACTGCGCCGTGATTCATTTAGGAGATGCCTTAACTGATATGAGAGAGGGAAGGAAATTCTAGGGAAAACGTAACACAGCTGACTCTATCTCTGGAGAGATACAGAAAGCGGAGCGTATCAGGGACCTGGGTTGGGCGCGAAGCCTGACAGCTTCCACAGTTGGTGGACAACGTGCGGCGTCGCACGAAGTCAGCGCACCCCCCACCTCCTGAAACGGCCCAGCCAGCCAACAACGGACAAGACGCGTACAGGATTGGCACAGAATGCTGAAAATCGACTTGCATAAATGGCAAGGTTTTCGAGGACAAGTCCGAGCCAAAGTAATCGCCGTCGCCAGAACTCGGGATATAGAAACTCCAATTCGTTTCATGGTTCGGCGCTGTTTGGCTTGGGAGGAGCATCTGGCGCTTTCGCTAATTCTCTTGACAAGTTCCTCTTATATTACACTCCACAGCTTCGTACCTGCACACTTTTGCCAAGCATTAACTAAGCACTTGCTACTACACAGCTTTACAAGTCTTTACAGGTTTTACAGGAGACATCACAAGTGATTGATGCGAACCAGTGAGATGCCCCCATCAAGCCGAACTGCGCCCTCATTTCTCTTCTAATGCATGAACTCAAACTGTCAGCGAAAATCGTGGAGAGTCCACTTCAAAGTTTTTTTGAACGCACCTGTGACCCCAGTGTTGGGCAAACCGGCCAATGGGCGCTGTTAGCGAACTGCAGACGAGTTGCACTGAGGAAAAACCTTGGATATCCTCCAATTTCACCGTTCATAGCTGAAAGTTCAGAGATTTTCTGTTGAGTAGGGACAACAGACCAGTGAAACTCGTGCGGCTAGCCACAAATTGCGACATCACCAAATGCACGAAATCACGGGCATGCTACAAGACCATTGTAATACTTCCCGACGGTGTGCGTGGCGAGCGATGCCGCGCTTGGTGGACGAGTTGTCCTGCCTGGCTCTTTGAATTTGGATTGTTAACGTGATTCGCCCGTTATGTGGTGCTGCCTACATTTGAATTAATATGGATTTCGCTATTCCAATCCACAAACTAATGCATATTGGAAGGTTTGCCGCGCCTCGACGCACGGTACGTCACGTGCGTCGACACGACAAATTACGATTGTCTTGTCCGATCAGTATTCGTCTCCTTGACAGCTTAAATCCGTTAATAATTCACACAATAGGCACCAACGGAAGGAACACATCCCTCAGTCATACCAAGATGGCCCAAAAATTCTTCAAATTTTATTCCAAAAAAACAATGATATTTACAACAATAAAATCGATATAAGCAGTGTTATTGATGTGATTTCAGTATGCCATCCAAGAGATCAACGCCTTTCAAATGTGAGTTTTCGGCGACTGTGTCGTTAACGCTGAACCAGAGTAGATAAGATTTTCTAAAAAACGACAGTATAAACCGAAAAACCGTACCTTACTGCCGATTCGTAATCGTAATCATTAGAGTCGTGTTTGGAACGGTTAGCGGTCGCTAGTTTAGTGGGTTCCTGAATTTTAAGTTTTGAATTCATTAGAAACTCATAGGTGCTGAGGAATTCGGAAGCAAGCAGTCGCGATGTGGTTGGAACGGCACAACCGCGCCGCGACCGCGCGCGTCCGAGGGCTGCACGTCTCACGAAGCAACCAGTTTCGAACAAAAAAATTAATGCCAATCACCTGCGGTTCTTCAATTAGTGTAGCATTAGAGGAAGTGTTATTTCCTGATCGAAGATACGCCTCGAGACCGAATTCTCGAACCATACCGCAAAATAGGGGACTGTTTTCTTGATTGCATACTTTCGACCCTTTAGTGACGACCTGAAATTTGCAGCAATTTTTGACAGAAGGGTAGGTAGTTCGCGAAATACGATGTTCAAAATCCCTCCCCCCCCTTCCCAGGTACCCTCTGAATTATGCTACCTACCCTCTTCCTGAGTCTTCTCTTCTTCCTACCACTCCCGAAACATCAAAAAAATTCCTAGTCACACCCCGACAAAATCTGGAAAAAGGGGGGGGGGGGGGGCAGGGAAGGAGATCGCTAGTCAACAACTACTATTTCAACTATCGGTGGTGTGGTATTTATGCAGCACAGTCAACTAGCGGGTATAGCACTAGTGAGACGGAGGAAAAACCGCGAAAAGTCAACAACAGTGAACAAGTTTCTTGAGATCAGGTACGCCCCTCCCAAAGCGACGAGCGAATAATGCCTCCGTTTTCCCTTTCCCATGGCAGCCTCTCAACGTTAGGGGATAGCGCGCGTGAAACGAAGTCATCCATCAAAAAAATTTCTCAAGCTAAATACGACCCCCTTTAGACACGACCCTTCCCCCGCCGGGGATTCCCACCGCGCGACGTTTGTAACATGGTTCAGTTTTTTTAGGAATTTCCTGGTTTTTCCTCTGTTGGACAATAGATGCTGCTAAAAACTGCGAAGAAACGCCTGCAAATCGAAATTAGTAAAATCCCCTTCAAAGCAAGTTTACCCATGCGAGGGGGGGCAGAAGGGATGGAGTAGGAAATAGTAACGAAGAACTAAGTCTTCTACGCAGAAAAATATTCTGATCTTCCTAACGAGTGGTTTACTCAAAAGTAGCATTGGTTTCTAGGCGGCCACCCGCTCCCTCGCCCCCCACTTCCCCAGCTTATTTTGTTTATTTCCACACACTATGGTCCCACAAATGACAAACTTGTACGATTTCCTAGCTTTACATGAGTCTACATGGCTTTTTAAATTGCCCAGAATGTTAACAGGAGTTCCAACCCCCTGTCCCCTCCCGGGGGGGGGGCAGTTTTAAGCTCCTGTTAACATTCATTCACACAACTATTTTCGATAATTGAATTAGTAGCTGTGTGATCTCCTCTTTGCTTGACGGCAGTTTTTTTTTTGGGAAAAATTTAAAAGATTTTTGTAAAAGTGGAGACGGTGGTAGCACGTTAGGAACAGTCAATCAGATGGTACGTCATGGGAAAGGGAGAGGGTTGTCACAGAGAAGGAAATCCGGGAGAAGGTCAATAAATTGTAAAGTTTCTCTCAGCAAC